ACATGCATGTACACCAAAGGTAATGGTGTATGGTTTATGCTTAAAAATGTCCAATGTACACATACTGGTATGTACGCTACTGCTACCTCAGGGATGTTTCGGGCATAGGATGTTGCAGAACAAAAAACCCAGTGAGCATGCATTCTGTGTAATGCAGTGGTGCACTGGATGCGGGGGACACGTCACATAGGACAATTCTTCCTCTAATTTGACTTCATTCGATTAGCTACTAATCGGTGCCTCCGTCACAAGAACTTTGTGTCCGCTGAAAGCCACTGCCCCCCTCCCTTTCATGGCAGAGTCTTTTGTTTCCGTGCCTGTGACTAAGCCGTGGACCATACCAGGTTTTTCTCTTCACAGGACGAAATGATTTTGCCGACACGCCTCATTACATATTCTCCCAGGGTGTTGTCATTCCAGCGTCATGATGTCAATTTGGAACGGGCCCAAGGTCCCTGCATTTGTATCCAGAAATCCTGAACGGAACCCGTCGCTTTGTGCTGTGTACCTCCATCCGCTCATTAAGAAAATTTACATATCTGCAAGACATTCCCCTAGAGAAAACAGATGACTTGTTTTCTTTCAATTTTCCGATTTTTTTTCCCCCTCATACATACTTCGGCAGATGACAAAGATGATAAAATTGCATTCAATTTTGAGTGAAATTGAATTCAGTGCTTTGTTCCTCTACCCCTGCTGAGGTTTCTAATGCCCTCCGCCCGCTCTCTAAACATGAAGGGAACTATTGCAGGTACAGCAAGCAATCTTCCGAAATGGCACGGATGACTTATTTCATAAAGTGATGATTCATATTTGGGGGACAAAACGAAAGAAGCTGAAAAGGGGAGTAGGGAACGAGAAAATCTTGTGATGGGGGGACACAGGTGAAGGGAGAGGAATTTTGAGACCGAAAATTGTGTGAAATGTGGTTAGGAGGCAGAAGCATTCAAACAAATTCTGAAAGGGACAGTGGAGAGGTGCATATACCGTACATGCATGTACATGTACGTGTCCTGCAAATCAGATTCATCTTTCCTGCCCCCGGGTCACTCTACCCGGTAGGTGCAGTTGAAACAATACATGGGCCTGCAACTCTTCCTGGAATCAGCTGATTTCCTTGTTTTTCACTCCACACTCATGCCACTGAGAATTGAAAAACATTGAACAAAGTCTGGTTGCATGCCTGAATACATGTACATTTACTAGTTTGGGCGGTCAAACGTGTACATGTATCAGTACACTATACTCATGAGCATCCTGCCTGTACCGTGTATTAAGAAAACTGCTATACCGGTACATACATGCGTTACCTGATTCCATGTCAGAATCGAGTAAAATTGATTGAACTTGATTCCATTCTTTGAATTAGAATCATGATTTTACTTTTTTGAGGAATTGATTTCCTACGGTCATTGATTCTGTTTCCTACAGGGTACATGTATTTCCCCGAGATTCCAGGGAGTGCCCCAAAAAATAAGATCTATAAGAGTTCCTCAAATCATGACTCCTGGATGGAATGGGATTGATTCCAAAACTGTTATCTTTTAACACTGTTTTGAAATTTAGTTTGAGTCGGTGTTGCCGTGCCCTCTCAGAACCACCCATTATTTTTTGCGAGATTGGAGGAATTCTAACTAGTGATACATGCGCGCGCCAATGTACATATGTACGGGATGACGCATTTATTGTCTTGCCAGCCTCCTGGCCGACTTCCTGCCAGTGTTTTGGTCAGTTTCAATTTAACCTTCTTCTTGTCTCCTATACAAGTCCTCCAAAGTTACTGGTACATGCAAGTGTGGCTCCCAATATGTTGGAAGAAATGGCAGCCATTCCCTAAAAAAACTCATTTTGGACAGTCCCAGAAACTTTGTCCACATCTGGACCAGTACCAGTATTTTACAGCATTTGAATATCGTTTGCGTTTTTGAGTTATGCACAAATAAACATATGCACAGTGTATGTATGTATTTGGTATCATCCAGTTAAAGAAAGATGCAAAGTGACTTCTAAACCCTACAACCAGCAGAGCCACTGATAGTAAAAACGTTTTCATTTCAAATGCAAGGAGACCACGATGCACAGTCCAACATACGTACATGTATATTAGATTTACACATCACCTGTTACAAGCAGTTTGGGCTGGAACATCTTATGATCAAATCCCAGATCCGCCGAATTGGTGTGTAGTCTTTTGTTTTGTTTTGGCATTCTTGTTCATACGTGTACGCATACAGTGCAATGTTAGTGTTTCAGTGACAGCTGTTTTTTACCCCTTCGGGCTGTAATCTATGAACCCCCTTTGATGGTCTATACATAGGGCCACTTCAATCAGTGTTTGTTACCTCCATAAAATAGCAGACTGTCCACAGATGTGATTGATGTTCATTTTAATACGGCCCATTAAAGGTGTGTACGCTGTCACAGCAGGGCAGGGCAGCACTGAGAACGATTCCAGTGCAAGCTGTGCGTGTGTCTGAACTTGGGCATTGGCTCACAGTTAAACTTGCTGTCCTCTTTTGGATTCTGAGCAATGTTTTTGTGAGGACATGTACGGATTGTAAGTTATTCTTTGCATGAATAACTTGTGGTACTGTGTTTGAGGTCTTTGCCCGTAGTTCTATCGGGGACAGTTTGCATTGAATCACAAATAACTCATTAGTTTATCCCGTATTTGATCATCATCCTGCAACTTCATTCACTTGGGTCCTTTGATGAAGAAAGAATAATCCCTTTGGTAGTCCTCAATCTTGTGACCTGTGTGAATCCATGAATGTGTTTAACAGTTCAGGAGGCAGTGTCAGATAACTCGTAAAATAGCCTGTGAGATCACTCAGCCAATGAGGAATGTGAATCGGGTTCTCTGGCCATCTGCAGCCCCAGAACCGTGATTCACCAGCCTCGCGCCGCCGCATGCAGTGCTTGGTGGTCGCTATCTAAACACGGCATCTCGCTTAAACCCGATCGTCATCAATATTGATGTCTGGGCTCGCTGGAGGCCCCCTCTCCGGAATAGATACTATACATGTTCATATGCGGAGTCCGGGTTTAGCGTATACTGGAAACTAACCGAGGGTCGTTAGTGCGTTTGTTGTGCTGGTGTGGCTTTGCACTGCACCAGACACCCCACCTCTCCTCTGGATCCGATCTCCCGGCAGGATCGGATTACAGGTGGCTCAGTGCAGGAGTCAGTGGTGGTCATAAATTGTGCGGATCGTTAACAATTTACCTGGCCAAGTCGTTTGCTTTTAGGGGAGCCCCTCTCTTAAAGTTTCATCGGGGTGCTGCCGTGTAGATTTGCAGAGTTGGAGATTCGGTGCTGGCGCTTTCCCAAACTGCTTCAAGTTATCAAATTATCAAAATCAATGCTTGCAATGTACACTGTACATGTGCATTTGTGGTACATTGTAGAGATGCTTGTTTATGGAACAGTGTTCTAAAGTACATGTGCACGTACATGTAGTTTCAAACTTAAAATGTACATGTACATGTACATGGAGTGCTTATACATGTAAATGCATCATGTGCTGTTGAAATACTGTTTTTGTAGATTAATTCTTGTCAGTCAGTGTGTTGGCTGTTCATGTTGTTTTGTCCTTTATACTCATGCATCTTGTACATCTACATGTACATCTACATGTGGTGGAAGGGGGAGGGGGCAGGGAGGCCACTGGCTCCTCCCACTTTTTCAACCTGGAGATAATGGTCCCACTTTCGGCAGGTCCTTTCATGGCTGTTCAGTGCCTAAATGGTCTCACAAATGTCGTCCCCACCTCACTTTGAAAATGTTCCGCCGCCATTGTGTACATGTATCAAGATAATGTGTTATCCTCATTGCTATTTTTGTAGTGCGTTATTCAGCAAAGGTCATATTACATGTACGTGTTTACTAGGATAGTCAGTCCAGATGAGAACAGCAATCAGTGGAGCAGATGAACCTCGTTGCCACCTGTTAGGGATTTGCCACTGTATCCAACCACTGCTTGGACGCATCCTGCCGGGCCTGTTTGTGACATGTCGGCACACACACGGGCAATCTTACACCCCCGACCCATTCTGATCTTCCCCTTTGATATCACCTGTGGCAGGTGATTTGCATGAGCCTGTCTCCCTGGATCTGAAAAGACCCAACTGATCTCACCCCCAGTTTTCCTTTATTGCATTTTCACAGCATCTGCCTTCAATGTTTCTTTCCCCCTCTCCCCATTTTTTTTCTCTCTTCGTTTGCTCGCCCGCTTGCCTGGACACTGCCAAATTGAAAATCTGCTCTGTGAATCCTGCCGACACATTAAAATTCAGAGTCTGGCCAATTTGCCCCGGAGTCAGGAGAGTGTCTCAACAACTTAGATTACCACCCCTCCTCCCCCCATCGTTGCTTGTACCATTTGTCTTCCTTCTAGTGGAAGACGGGCTCGGTGCAGATCACATTCGGCAAAGCGGGACTATTGGAAACGGAAGGTTGAGAGTGCAGTGGGAAGTGCATTCAGATCTTTGATGGTTCGATATTTGCCAACTGAGTGAAATGTGTTAGTGCAACTGCTCCTTGAAACATTTATCTTGACACCTGAGTGGAGCCGATTTTGTGTGCGTTTGATCAGTGGCTTTTCATGGTCAAAATGCACGCCAGTGCGGATACTGATGCATGTATCAAATCTATTTGTTGCAGCTCAAGAACTTCGCAACAAATTGGCAGTTGAATATATGAGCGTCTTAGTGGCATTGCTTCTTGAAAACTTTTTCTTGAATCTTTGGAAGGATGGGCCAAAATTTCATGTGCACCTGCATTTCTTTGCTTGTGAAATGTACATGTATGTGTCCTTATGGCCTCATATTAATTGTCAGATTCCTTCTGAAAGTCGATTCACTTATTTTGGATGCCGAGGAGAAATGGGCCAAAATGTTTTCAGCGCACGTAAACGTACATGTACTGGGATATACTCACTTTCCATGTAAACAATCTCATTTATTTAGCCCCTCTTTTTTTTTTTTTTTACCTCCTTCAGCCCCGAAGCGTTCTGCTGAAGATGGTGGCGGTCAGAACTTCAAGCGTGCCCGGGGAGGCTCCGGCTCAAAGTCTGGGGAAATCGAGCTGCGTGTCCTGATTGAGAGCAAGGTGAGTACCCTAATTCCTGGCCAGGATTTGTACCCCCTTGGGGGAAGGGTGAGGGGTGAGGGGAGGAAATGAGGAAAGCCTTTGCATTGGTGATCTCTTTCTGGAAGAGTTACAGGAATTTGCGGCCCTAGAAACATCCTGCATCTTTCTCCAGGGAAACATTTACATGAATATACTTGGTGATGACTTCCGTTGCGAGCTATTAGGAACAGATTTGGTTACTGTTAAGAGGTTTTGAAATGTGCCGAAGGACATAGCTGTCTCTCGTGAAAATACTAAAGATCAGAATGCTTGGATTATTTTGTCTGCCTTTATTCGTGTGTAATCTATTAAAGAAACCTTGTGTTTCAAACATGAGCGGTGGACAGTTTTGCATGAGAATGGTCACACGAGTAAGGTACAGGGGATAAAAAGATAAATGTTCAACAACAGTCTGTAATGCATGTGCGTGTGGCAAATCTCATCCAATAGTAAAGTGCATTGTATCGCTGAGCAGTTTACCACTTGTGAATCTCAGGTGTCCATTTGCCGAGAGTTTCTGTGTGATTGCCTTCCTCTACATTAGACAAACCAACCATGACCACTGCCATAAAACTGTCTCAGTGATGGCAATGGATCTTTAAGCTACCAACATTTTTCTTAGCTTTTTTTTTTTTGGGGTAGAAACTGCCTTGGGACATTCTCTGTAGTATTAACACCTTCAAGAGTCCTCCAAAAAAAAAAAAAAATTAAAACGATCTTCGCACTGCGTCTCCCTCCTGCAGATGGAACGGCCAAAGTTCTCAAATGACCCAGGGCCACTGTGGGGAGAGCCACTCGTGCTGGCAAGGGAAGACGTGTTGACTCTTCCCAGCCCAGGGGGGTCGTGGATAATGCTGGGGATAGTTGTCTTAGGCATGTCTTAAGACTCTGGGAAGTGTCTTCCCGAGAGTCTGCGCTTCCTCTTCCGTGTCTCTGAGAGGCAAGTCGAGACCACTCACATTTTTTTTTTTTATTTTTGGGTCTGTGCTCTGTCTTGGGGACGTCATAAATAAAAAAAAGCTGCTGAAAAATTAGTCTTTCATTTCTCAGTAGTGTACAGCATTAATTCAGTAGAGTAGTCTTTTCATTGAGTTGCCCCCCCCCAAGATTAAAATAAGGCAAAGAACAATGCTGATTCAAAAATGTAATGAGTACATATTTATATACATGTATCTTCAAAGAGGTGGCAGCATGCAGTCTGGTGACATTGTAGAGGCTGTCTTGGAGTCCCGACAGCAGAGTTCGGACACAAGGACTGCATTCACATGCACGGTGGATGGAGAAAGTGATGAGATGAATCATTGGTCATTTACTGCTTGGGCAGACATTTTGTGTACAGTGCAAGTGCAGTCTGTGCACAATGTGTACAATGCCACACGTGCTATAATGACATGACTCCAAGCTGTTGCCTGTTGTGGGCTCGGATGCCACATTTTAATTACACTGGGAATGCACATGTCGTGTTCTCTGTATTTGCACCGGGAATCATGGAGTAATGGATTGAGTGGGACGCGAATGGTCTGAATGTAATATTTGCACAAAGTGATGGCGACCCTTTCTTAATTAAGTTGACATTACGTCGGCCTCTTGAATGCATGCTAATTTCTAATGCAAATTTCTAATGTCTCTTTCTTTTATGGGGTGTGCGGGCGATGCACAGTTAAGCTCAACCAGGGGAGCGTTTTCCTGGCTTCAGTGGCCTTAATTTAATGAGTGACAAAAGAATCAGGTTTGAATCTTTATGACGTTGGGGTCTTTGTATGGTCACTGTATCATTAAGTGAGGAATTACTCTGTGTCCTTTTCAATTTGAATGCACATGCAACTTTGCTACCTTTGCCAAAGTGTGTAAATAACCGAAGACTTGGATGTCTTTTGTAAGTGCTGTTTTGGTATGTGTGGAAAGGGGGGGTGTTGCTTTTCTGACGTCAAGGGTAAATCATGCAAGCAGGTTTAATAAGATGGAGAGAGCACTATCGCATGAGCAGCCCAAAAAAGAGACAACAAATTGCACGCGCACATGTCGTTGGGGAGGGCAGAGGAAGGAGTAGAAGGGACAGAGAAAAAAAAAAAAGGAATGAGGTTGTTAGCCGTCGTGCATCTTGTTAGCATGACAATAACATGGAAGGGGGGGATGATTTCCCTGGGTAGCTGTAGGCAGGGCCATTAGTTGTTGAGTGTCTTGGCGTGTGCAGTCGTGGCTGGGCTTCTGGCCATTCCCCGGGACTCTTGTCTCTCTCTCCCTGCTCGCACTGGCTGGCGAAGAGTATCGTACGGGAGGAGGGGAGAAGGGATTGTTAGGTTGATTTATAGCCAGAAAGTTTCTGTCCCCAGGAACGGTCATTCATTAGCAAGGATTAAACAGAGGGGACTGGAAACATTTTACCCATTTTTTAATGAGTTGTTCGGTCCTACTGTATACCACATGTACGTCTTAAGAAGGAGGATGTTGGATGAACGCTGTAAAAAAGCTATAAACATCTGAAAACAGGTTGTAAGGTACATGTGCACGTACATGTATGTAAAGAACATTTTATCTGCATACATGTATCTACATGCACATGCCCGCACATGTTGTAAAAGTCTATGGAATGTGAAGCTAGATACACATTAAATCAGTGAGAAACTGTAGCCTGTGCATGCATTCTATCATTTCGAGTTATTTGCAGAAATCTTGATCTGACGGGGGAAAGTTATACACACGTGTGTAGAAAGAGAGTGATGAGTGCTGTTCATTGCTGGCATACATGTGAGATCTGATATGGATGGCAGCACTTAACATTGGAAGTTTTGGACGATGAGAAACATTGCAGATAAAAAGTCCTAAAATAGGTCGGATTGGTTGTGAACTATATGAATGCTCCATTTCCTGAGGAGACCCTGGCAGTTCTGGGCTGTAAGACGGTCGATAGTAGTTCCCAGCACATGAAAGGCTTTTAGGAACTCCAGGGACTTGCATAATCGTATTATAACTTTTGTCTCTTATCCTCAAAATGTGAAATTTATTCAGTGCGCGGGTCGGTGTTGAAAGGAAAAAAAAAATTGGCTCTGGATGTAATTCGTTTAATTCTGTCCGTGCAGTTGAGAGCCAAGGCCAAAGTATTGTGGCTTGCTGAACACAGGCGGTATTAGGAATTGCTGACGATGCGTGACAAGCCTATTGAGTGCGTAGAGGCCCCCACACGGGCAGACCCTCTCCCCCAAACAAAAGCCAAAGTGTATTTGAACAGTTTGCCCCGTGAATGCATTCATCCCATTAAGCCTGCCACCTGGCTGTATTTTAGTGCCACGCTCGCATTGTCATTCTGTCTCCTGTGGAAAATGACGGTCTTTTTTGGACACAAGGTCTTGTTTTGAGTCATGTATTTGTTTTTGTAATCTGTACTCATCAAATAGCATTTGTCCTGGGAAAAAAACTGACATGTTAGGATGACTAGTACTGAAGCGTATTTGAAACAATAGTCTTCACGAAGTTGTCTTTCAACATTTATGCACATATGTACCTGTACAATGTATATACATGTATGGATGTATCACAATATTCAGTTTACACATGTACATGTAGTTCACATGTATAATTTCTGCAAAAGACAATATCAAACTAAAGGCACATGCCAAAATGTAGATGTACACATGTATATATGTACATGTACAAATACATGCTCATATATTTGCATACATGTGCATTTGTAATATCGAGAAATTCACAAAATATGGAGGACCTGACGTTTTGATCCCAGCAGAACCTTTCTCTTTCTTTTTGCCTTTGAGAAAGGTTCTGCTAGGACGGAAACGTCAGGCCCTCAATATCTGGTGATTTTTAGTTTACATGTAGGTCACTGTAGTCAGCAAGTAGTTTGCAGCAGTTGTGTATCGTACGTGTACATGTATATCAAGAGATTGTTTCCATTAATTTGATTGTTTCAAAATTGTATGAGATGCAGCAAGTGTATGTTCATTTTCTTGCTGAATTATCCAGGAGTGTTGTTCGATGAACTACAGTAAAGGAAAAAAGAAGACAGAAGATAAAATTCCAATAAGAATAATGTAAATCAATCAATACAAGGGCTCTTAATTTTGATTTCTGTACATGAAAGTTAAGTTGTGTTGAAATGTAAAATATTAAAATTGACAGACGTGAGGGTTTAGAGCTTTTCTGTCAATGTAAATGTAAAAACAACAGCAAAAGACATGTAGTACTGTGAAATGTTTTTATTGAAATGAGTTTTTTGATGAGGCTGTACTCGAAAATGCATGCATAATTTTGAAGGTTCAGTGGTGCCAATGCATCAGTGGGAGGTCAAAAATTGAGAAAAAGAATGACAGCTTTTACCGCATCCAGGAAAGATCGCGCGTGCCCGCCTGCATCTCGGCGGGGTTTGTGCCAAGGGCTTGCCTTTGTAGCAATCACAAAGCCTGCAGCTATTCCCAGCAATGCACCGGGGGTTGTTTGATCATGATCATAGAGCAGTGCGCACATCATTGTTTGGTGATCTCTCAGCTCAGTTTTGATCAGTATACTTTGTGCAGGACCTACATGTGCAATGTACCTTTCATAGGAGGGTATGCATAAAGATTGTACCATGGATTTTGTATTAAGACTCTGGATTGAAAACATTGTTAAAAAGGGAAACTGGCTCTGCGTATCCTTCCCAAATGAAGACCTGGCTATAAAGGATTGTCGATTTTTGGTCATGAGGAAGTTAAAAATGGTCAAGACAAAAGAAAGTTATGATGACCTTTCATGTTTTGAAATAAACGGTTCTGGAATCGAAAATGGGGTTGGGATGAAAGTTTACATAAAATCGCGTCATCACATGAAGTTACATGCAGGCCATTTTGAATTCATCTCTTTGTCCTCCCTGATTCTTCTCAATTCATCGGGAGGTTTGGGGAGGAGTTTGCATGGGACTGAGACCTCTTGAAGCACTTTTGCTCCGTCTTGGAATACGAAAGATTTAGGAAGCTTCCTTGGAGAAACGTCAAGGAAGTTGTGAATAGTGGAGTAACCCAATGATTTACATGTAGTTCTGTTATTTTTGGTCTTCCTCCCAGAATGCTGGTGGCATTATCGGCAAGCGTGGTGAGAACATCAAGCGTCTGCGTGCCCAGGTTAGTTACCGGTACCATCGTTGCCGTTCCTTTTTTGTTTCGTCGGCCTCAGCTGAATTCTCATGACAAATTGCTGGATCAAATGCAATTAGTTCCCTGGGAAAAACAGGTTGTCCGCCCCAATATCCATGATTGAAAGGGGGTCGTCTGAAAGCGAACATACCTGGTGGTGAAATGGTAACTAGGTGACAGAGGAAACAGTGCCTTTTAAGTGAAATTGTTAGAGCCTGTACATGTGCAGTAGATGGTGCTTGGAAAGAAAGATACATGCTACTTGTTATTGGATAACAATAAGGTATAAAATTGTCATGGTTTGTGGAAAAATCTACATGTGTACATTTATTTTTGTATTTCATAATGCTACTTTGTGTGGTTTTATTTTGATGAGAAATCCGCAAAGAATTGCTGAAAATCAGACTGTGACAGAGATACCCATTCCCAATACCTGGAAAACCTGTATTTTGAAATAATTTTAAAATTGCTAAATTTCAAGGAATTTTCTTTTTTTACGCTGAATTCCACACTGGTTTTGTGAGTCGTAATAGAAAGTAACGTCAGTGGGCCTGCAGTCAAATCATGTTGAAGCCGTCAGATTGCACAGTCTTTTCAAGCAGAGAGTTTTATGCAAACTGCAAGCTGTGCTTGATTGTTAACCCATTTTTGTAAAAAAAAAACTGTTTGCTCTTGTTGTCAAATACTATGCTTCTTGATTAACGGGTTCCCATGCCCATTTTCCCATGATGCCCTTCTCTCTTCTCCCCCCTCATTCACGCTGGCCACCCTTTCGACCACCATGGCTCGGGCCCCGCCTTCTCCTCCGTCCGTCCGGCCCTGATTACGATCGACGGCCTTCTTGGTTGTTATGCGATCGCTGTGCCCGATTACCGCCCACTTTGCCCCATGGTCCGGCCCCTTCGAAACACGGATATCCCGACTTCTTCAACCAACGTCCACCGTCCACCGTCACACCATGGCCCGCCTGAACCCCTCGCGGCCCGTGGTCCAACTTCCACTGGTCCAGTACACTCCCCTTGTAGGCGTGCCCGATTGCTGTGGGCCCGAGCGGTATGTCCAACCACCGAGTGCCATCAGGCATTCGCCCCAATTGTAGCTTCACCACTTTAGGTGTATTCTGCTTTGAATTTTTGGCTTTTTTTTTTTTTTCAAAGATCTAATCATTCCAGTTGGGACTCTCTCTTTTTTTGGTTGGTTTGGTTATCTTCTTTTAACACTGAAAGAAAAAAAAAATTTGCCTAGTTGCTTTTTTTTTTCTTTTTAATTTCCTCATTTGATGAGAGTGGAGGGACTCCAGTGAGAGAATTCAATTCAGTGAATTTTGCAACAGGAATTCAGGGTTAGATAAAAATAGCAGAAAAGGGGAATGGTGTTCCAACATGTGTGTACGTGCATGTACATGTACTGCACAGAACCCATTGGTAAGGACAAATTACAGAGAAGTCTCAACAGTGTGTCAGACATGTCGGGCTCTGGAAAACAGTATTGTAAAAGGTGGTTTCTTAATCTCTCAGTATTTGTAGTACCTGTACATTACAGTTTCATACTTGTAAATACACGTATTGGTCTGTAATATGTGTGTTTAATGAGAAGCGTGGACATACATGACTGTGTGTCATTTGGGATTTGTTTTGGAGAGGATTTCCTTTTTTTCTTTGACAGTTCATATTTGAGGTGATAGCGTTCCACGCCCTTCTACATGTACATGTATTGCATCTAATATACACTGCACTCATGCTTGAAATCTTTGCTGCATTTTTCACTCTCTCATTTTTTTTTTTTTTCTTTTTCTTTTTTTTTTGAATGTCATACAGCGTAGTTTTGAATTTGCATCATGCAAATCATGTTGCTGTGGATTCATTGAGATTTTTGAAATTACCTGCTGAAACATGACCCCCACATTGAAACCTTGATGTGGATTTGCAGCGTTGTGTGTGCTTAAGATTTACAGGCGGTAGTGAATGTGCTGTACGTATCGGTATATGTGCAGTTTTGTTGGTGTACATACATGTACATGTACGTACATGTAAATGTACGTACATGCACATGTACGTACATGTACATGTATGTAATTTTAATAAATGGTCAGGTTTGGATTGTTGAATAAAATGTACATGTAATACATTTTGAATGTGGCGACATGTAAATGTACATGTATGTATGCAGTCAAAATTTGTGGGTCGATGTGTACGTGTAAATATGACTCATCTCAGCACCAATGTTCTGGCTACAATATGCTTCATCAGTTTTTCGTGTCGACTCAGTTCCAACCGCAAACCCGACATGTTGAAATCATCTGTGTCACAAAGCTGTCCACGAGGTGAATTTCCATTGGACTGCTGTACGTGTGAACGGTGTACTGGTTGGGAGCAGAATAAGCTGTCAGGATTCTTTGGATCCTTTGTTGCCAGTGAAGATGGCTTCATGAATTTGACAAATTCCTAGAAATCACCGATTTAAAAAAATAATTTTATTGCAGTGCTCTTCAATTCCCTAGTACTCTGCTTTATGTTTGGGGTACTGCAGTTACTCAAGACAATCGAACATCATATACTGTAGATTACCAAGGTGTTCACAAGAATTGTTGGTGATTGCCAAAGAGGCATGTAAAGTGCAGAAAAGTTTCCGTCAATTTTCAATTTGAAGTGCTGTCATATTTGCCCAGCAGAAGTTCATCCTTAGAATTAGTCCTTTGGCATTCTATTTGCTTTTTTTTCACATAGATTTTATAACCCATGCTTTTGGTTTGACGAGGGATCTTGCTAACACCCTTTGAAAACTAGACAGGTTTTTTTTTTCATTTTTCTTTCTGTTTCTGCCGAGAATCAAGGAACTTTTTTTCCCACAAACCTGCCTTTGGGTATCAACGTTTCTTTCTTGTTTTTTTTTTTGGGTTTATATTGGTTGGACAGGGTTGCAGAAGTCCCTGAGGTGCCATGCTCTCTCATATTCATTTTGGTTTCTGACTGATACTTTTGAGGGGTTTTTTTTTGGGGGGGGGTAAGAGAGTCATCCACACCAGTATGTCCCATCAGCCTCTCCTGGTCTGGCTTGAATGATAAGGCAATCGATAGGTCAAATCGCTGATTGACCACTGAACGTTCATTAATGAGATTGGCTTTACCCCGTTGAGGGGGGGTCTTTAGAGAGAAGCTGATGCTTATTGTTCTCTTTTTCTCCCTGGCTTAGCCTGCTCACCGTCAAAGCAAACAAGGACACTGCCATTGACTGCTTGCTGGAGTGTGTCGCTCTTCAAGTGAGTATATTGTTTTTGAGAATCTGGGTATTTTTTTTTTTTTTTTGGTGGGGAGTTTGTTCATAGAATGAATTTATCCTGTCCTTTCTGGAAGAACACCGGAAAGAATTATTTTTTTTTATCTCGTACAATACGCTGTGTGGCCCAGGGGTTACAAGTACATGTATACTGCATATTGATGGCAAGTGTGCTTGCTGCTCACGCATATGCAAGTGTGAGTTTGCAAAGGTATAGTTTTGTTTCTTCTTCTGCTTGTATTCTTTCCCCGCTTCTCTTAAGTACTCTTTGTCTTTCAAATTTAGCAGTCATTCATGGGTACAAAAGCCTTTTTTCAATGAAAATCCTCATTTAACTTTTGTTAGCTTGCACAGCACAAAAAAATGAAGTTTTACCAGTTATCGATTATGAAATGTAGGTAATATTTGGGAAAGATTTCAGCTAGGGGTGCATTTTCACTTCAATTTGAGAATTTTTTAATAAGAAATTGGGCAGTTGTTGCACATCTTGGGATAACCCCCCCAAAAAAGGGAAATTCTGTAATACTGTGGAATAAAATACTCCTCGGTAACTGGAATAAAAGTAAAAACAAAAAGAAAAGAAAAGTTATGAATTAATTTCATAGTTCTTTCTTCAACTACTACAAGTCACTTCGAATATTTTGCATTCCAATTTTTATCTTGAACTGTTCGCTCTCTCTCTTGTGTTTAGAAATGTGAGGGGGTGCCGGAGGTTCGTCTTCTCGTTCATCAAAGTCATGCTGGAGCCATCATTGGACGTGCAGGCTTCAAGATCAAGGATCTCCGCACTGTAAGTCAAGGCTGGCTTTGTGTTCTGTAATCTCGGGGGGCCTGGACTGTTCTGCAGGCTGTGGACTTGAGGTGCGGATTTTGTCTTGTGTCAGAGGCTTCACGAGGGGGAAGGTGAAACAGTAATTTTTAACAACGAGTTTTTGCCCTGGCACTATCTTCATGACACTCTACCGGTATACTCGGCGCTTGTCCGAGAGCTCGTGAAAAAAATCGCACTGGCTCAGGTGGGTCTCAAATCCACAACCTCCTGCTTACTAGTGCAGTCATCTCAACCACTCGACCGCCGAGCTTGCCGGGGGTCGGCTGGCTGGTCCAATGTAGCAGCTGGTACCGCAAACTGTCTCAATACACGTGCACTCTGTACATGTAGGTGAAAGTTGTTGGATTGAGGAACGCCAGGACCAAAATAAATCCTGAGACAACTCTATCAAAAAAAAGTGGTTTGATGACATCTTTTATTTAATTACAGTGAACTGAGAAAGTTGAAATTCGGGTTCCTGGTGCCAGTCTATTCAGGCGTGCAAAATTTCCTCTCCTGCATACATGTACCTCCCTGGTGAAACTCTTGTCAAATGAAAAACACTACTCCAAGTGTGACACAGCCTCGGATTCCCTTGGTCTTCATATGGCATCTCAGTTCACTTTCAGCAAATTGCTGTGGGACTTGGCACTCCGGTTTGTTGCATTGTCCGAGAAAGTGCAACTGGTGAAATGAAGAGGAAACGGTCATAAGACAGACGGACTTGTTGATGGAGAAAAACCATTAGGAGAGTGCTAAAAATAACTGGGCTCTGTCCAGTTTGTCCGCTGGGTATTTTCAGCCTTGGAGTGAGCTGTGCCTGTCTGTTAAACATTTCAGACCTGTACATGTACCAAGGCAAATATGAAAATCTCAGTATGCTTGCTGCTCCATCAGTTATTATACATAGTGTAGGAAAAAATAATTGGAAAGCTGTCACAGATGTGTTTGTCGCAATCTGTTCTTCTGACAGCTTGGGTTGCACAGATTTATTGTGCTTTAAACTGGTACATGGAAAAAGAGTGGTCCTGAGAAGTCTGTCCAGGGCAGTCCATTCATTAATGGACTGTGATAGGAAAAACACCTCCAGGGGACATGCCTGTTATTTCATCCTACTTGTTGTATTTGATATCCTCCTCTGGATGAAATCAAATATGACTTGGCAAAATTTGGTCGGCTCCTGTAATAAATAAAGTCACCCCGGTGTGAAATATTTTCTGTCTTTGTTGGGGGTATAATAGTAAGGATGGATGATTTGTCTGGCCTTAAAACAAAACAGCTAGGTTTGAGCATTGTTTGTACAAGTCAGGCTTTTTTTTTTTTGGGCAGCTTGCCAGCTGTCCGTCGGGATGACAGGTGGTATTGGATATGTGTGTGGCTTCTCGTCATAGTTTGGCAGGGTTTAGGAAGGGGGGGAGGGTCCCTGTCTGTTATTGATTCTCTCCACTTCCCCCCCCCCTCCCGCACCGTTGTCCCAGACTGTCCTGTCACCCTGGCCTGCCGTCAATGGTGGTTCCTTCTAATTGTATCTGAGATGGGCCAGTGCATTGGGACCTGCCCAGGTGTTGAGACGTTAATGATATCAGAAGTATTGATCAGGAGTGCTTGTTGAGGAAATTGAACTTGGAGGCCTTCATGACAGCTTCAGAACCGTATGACTCAGCGATGAAGATGATGATATTGTAGTGTTTTGCCAACCAATCAATGTTGATGTGATGTGTATGTACCAAAGGTTTAATAACTCAGTTATAATTTTATTGTACAAATGATTTTTGATGTCAGTAGAATATAAGGAATTGGAAAGGACGTTCCAATTTAGGTACCGAATTGTAGAATTAGAATGAGAAAAGGAATCAATCATGTGTCATTTAAATTTGATTGTCAAGCCATTTTGTGAGAATCTGAATTTATGAGAAAATATTTTCAGGAGAATACGAGTTATTTGAATTAGGTGTTTGCCTCGTAAGAGTCAAGTACATGTACATATGAGATGTATTTGAACTCCAGATTACCTGTCAAAATTCCTTTCTGGAGTCCTCATCAGTGGAAAGTGCCAGACGGTAAAGTTGAAGCTGTCAAGTCTGGTAAACCTTGCCGTTGAGATGACTGTGGAGATTTTGTTTTTATCATTTTATCTCGCAGAAGACTGGTGCAACCATCAAGGTGTACACAGAGATGTGTCCCAGCTCATCGGAACGTGTTGTTCAAGTATGCGGCACACTGGAAGTCATTGGTGAAGCAGTTAGAGCCATCATGGAGGTGATAGAGGATGTAAGTACATAGTATTTTAGTGGTTTATAAAAAATACTCTGAATGGCAAGACATCTTCAACCCTATGGAGGAAGGCCTTGTTTTTTCTTGAAATTTTCTGGATTCTGCCAAAATTTAACATTACAGTATGTAGGCATCCCGCTGTAGGTTGGTCATGCTCTCAGACCACATTAAAGACATGGAAGCTGAGTAAAGTCAAAGTTTGGGCAGCCGTAAATCAATCAACCCTCCCCCCCCCCAGCCAAACTGCAGGCTGCTTAGGAAAGAAAATGTGCTTTGCCAGAAAGAGCAGGTAACCAGCCAATGTGTCATATGGTGTATAAAGGAAGTCGCTGGTTCCCAGCTAGGTCTTGCTCAGAGGAGAAAATTTGCTGAGCAGTGAGTCACAAGTCACCAGAGCCTCTTTTAGGCAAAATGCCTTTAAAAGATTTTTGCTCAATGGTAGAGGGAACTCCGGAACATTATCCACCCGTCAGATTTGTCAGGATGCCAAACTGATTGATACATCAAAACAAAGACATCAATTTGTTCAGTCTGGAATTGAATCTAAAATGAAATTACCAAATGAAAATGGTCTGAAGACTCATTTCGTGGGGTCCAGTCACATTTTCTGCCATTCAGCTCCATATCGTAGGGCCCTAAAATAAAGCAAGCATGTTTTCCTTGCTGTTATGCAGGTCCCCATCAAGGGCTTCAACCAGAAGTACGACCCCTTCTGTGCCAAGGAGTTTGTGGCACATGGTTACGGGGGCTTTGTCTCCGAAGCCCCCTGGGAGGGTAACCGTGGTGCTCGGCCTGGTCGGGGTGGTGGTGGTGGTGGCGGCGGTGGCGGTGGAGGCTTCCGTCGAGGAGGCGGCGGCGGCGGCGGTCGCATGGACTCCTACGGACCAATGGGCGGTGGCGGCGGGGGTGGCGGAGGAGGTGGCGGCCGAGATTTCGGGGCCGGTGGGGGCGGCGGTGGAGGTTTCTACCCGGATGATGGTGGTTTCAGGCGAGGAGGGTTTGGCGGTGGGCGAGGCAGGGGCGGAGACCGGGGAGGCCGGATGGACAGAGGGGGTGGTGGTGGTCATCGGAACTACAGGTGAGAAGACCGGTATTTGGATTACAACGCGGCCATTTTTCAAACTGCTTCTTTGTGTACTCCTTTGGCTTTACCTGATGGGATACCCCTAACTTCAGAGATTCTATCTGAATAAAATTTTTTTTTTTTTTCACTTCAGAAATATCAGATCATGGGACATAAAGCAAAATACAGAAGCGTTGTCATTTGGTCCGAACCTTAAGGGTGTATATATGGTTCCACAGATAAAGACAGAAATCCAAACCAACACATTTCTTGGTGCATGTGTTTTGTGTAAAACATTGAAATAACTCGATGCACTCTTGGCTTTGTTGCAGTGACGATTCATTTGGTGGAGGTGCCGGTGGAGGGTTCAACCAACAAGGCGATGTAAGTACAGTTGATTTTTTATGGTAGTTTTTTAAGTCGTTGGTTTGCCGTAGCAGCATGCGAAATATCTCTTTTGTGAGTACTTGTGGTTCTGGAGAGATCCGGAGGGTACTCGGCATTTTAGACAGTATGCTCTTAATGTAGATGCATCTCTGTATTAAGATGGAAGGAATTCCGGGGGGAGGGGGGTGAAGGCTAGATCCCTTTAACGATTCTGCCAGCCTGCTTTGACCATCTGCTTAGCACAGAAGTGTGCTTAGATTAGACAACAGGTTACCCGACAAAATGCCATGGAGTGATAGGGATGATTGTTGTAGGCATCCTAGCCTCTTGTGCCTCGACTGCCTCTGGGCATTGTTCTCCCGAATAGATTGTAGTGTGTGGGTAAGTTTAGACACAGTGTGATTCTTCTCTCTGCCAATCACCAATCCTCCAAAATCCAGCACATCGTTCTACATTTTTTTTGGACTGGTCAGCCTGGCCAGGGACACTTTACCTCGGACTTGACATGCCAACTGTGATATTGTGCTAAAAGTGTGGCATTGTTGTGGCTTCTGAAAACTTCCTGGAATGCTTTTCCCTTTGAAATTGAAACCTAGTTGATTGTGAGTGCATCGTGTTATATAATTTCTGCTTATTTTCATCCTCTTGTCATCACAGCCCAGCGGCTACCAGGGAGGCAATTTTGGGGGTGAGTTTGCTACTTTTCTGGCATGGCAATGGAGGGCTTCATTTTAATAAATACGAGGAGAGCTAAAAATCTCTCTCCGTAATTCACCTTGTTGATTTAAGGAGAGCGATTAATAAATCAACATCTGCATCATAAACCAACATCTGCAATCAACATCAACAGTCATAAATCAACATCTGCCGGTTTGAAAAAACCACGCACTCCTTAAATTTTTAAGGAGCGCTTTTTTTTTGCTCTCCTTGTTAAACATTAAGGAGCGCGGAGGAGCGCGAGCGCGATCGCGCTCCTTTAAAATGAAGCCCTGCAATGTATGTATACAATGTGTATCTCAACAAAACAGGGTTCATTTTTAAGCTGTTCTGCATTGAGGTTCCGATTGCATGGTATGCACTGTTGGCTTAAAAATACAAGTAGCTTGTCTAAGGACATCCCACTTCTAACTTCCGAACGCATTATCTTATTTTTTCCCCCCCCATGATCTGATGTCATGGAAGGGTGCCCTTATCATACGCAAAAAGTGCAAGAATTTTGGAAGGTGGGGTACAGGAGGAAAAACCCTTGATTAGCTTAATGAAAGATTTTGATTGACTCATTTACTTTTTGTTTTGTTTTATAGGATCTGGTGATTCAGGCGAGATACTCACAAGCCAGGTGACTATTCCTAGAGAGGTAAGATCCTGTGTATTATTCCTCTGGATGAAACACTGCTTTGTCTCAATTAAAGGGGGGTACATGTATTGTGCATTCCAAGGTCACTAGGGTCAAAGTGCGTAGGTCATTAGAGACCCCTTGGCATAGAGGCTTTTGAAGACGCGCTCAGAAGATGTGTCAACAAGCCTCTGGCCGATGAGTAACAGTTCATACAAAAGACAGGAGGAAGTGTATTCATTGGTCAAAAACCTGCCGATCTAACTGGAGATTGTTAGTTGGGAGGCAGTGATAATCTCTTTACACCTGGCCGTCAGATTGCAGGTGTTTTTCAGGCCGACTCTTTGATGACGACGTCATTTTTGTTTTGGTGTGCCCTGCGGCCCATTGTCTCTCTGTAACAGTCACTTGTATTGAGCTCAGCATTGGGGGTTCTGGGATTTTCGGTTATTACATTGCAGGCCAATGCCCAGGGCAATGTGGCACTGATAAGATTTTTCCTTTGCCAGGAAATTTGCCGAGTCTACATGGCATCTTTGTAGAGTCTGGCTAGTAAGCAGTGGCTGGCCATTTGCTTGAATTGCTGTTACAGAGTCGAAGGTCACATGGTTCCTTGCTACTTGGTCAAGGGACCATAAACCTCTTGTCAAAATTCCCTCCCATTTATTGGGTCTGCCTTAGAAAACAAATTCCTCTTTATATTCCAACTCCATGTTTTAGCTAGATTGCCAATTATCTGACCCCAAAATAAGGCGCTGAGAGTTGTCATGCTGATCCCCTCAGAGAAAAAAAAAACAACAACCTGGCTTTCCCTTCAATTAGTTCGAGTCAAAGATATTATCACTTATACACTGTCAGAAGTAAAAATGCATTGAGCAGATTTTTTTTATCAATAAGTTACCCTGTACACTGTCAATAGGTAAAAACCATTCTAAATGGGGGTTAGAAAAATCAAGAGTTTGTCCTACTGGTACATGTATATGGGTAATTTCAGAAATTCAGAAATTGTCCCTGTCACAACTGACATACGAGTTGTAAGTTCAGAACACATTTTCTAATTTCCGAGAGTGTTGAATTAATGCAAATTGCCTGCCAGACAAATAGTAATCGTTTGAAATCAAGTCCTGTGATATTTCCATGTCAAATAACAAAGGTCAGATGTAACAGAGACACAAAAATGTCACACTTTTGGACCCCTAATTTCTGGAATTACCCATATCCCTTGTGCAGAGAGTTTTCTTCTGTTTTCCCATTTTCACTCTGTTTTTCTCTTGCTGTCCGACTCCAGCTGGCTGGTTCCATCATTGGCACCAAGGGCAGCCGGATCCAGGTGATCCGCCAGGGCTGCAAGGCCAAAATCAAGATTGAGGAGCCCGAGGAAGGCAGCTCGGATCGCATCATCACCATCACGGGGACCAAGACCCAGATAGAGAACGCCCAATGGCTCCTGCAGTCCAGGTACGGCCACCTTCCCCACATTGTCTCTTCTTCCCAGTTCTGTATCGGAACTTTTCTCCCAGATCTGTGAAGACAAACTTCTGCCCAAAGTTTTGGCGGATTGTGCGGCATAGAGCAAGATAATCCCAGCTGCTGTCTGTGTCAAGTACAAAGAGTGGGTTCCTGCACAGTGGTGGGATTTTAGATAAAGGATGTATCCTGGCAATTATTGAAGTAAAGGCAGTTACTTAGGGACACCGGAGAGATGAGGGCGCATCAAACTGTTCTTCCTTCACAGTCGACGAAGTGGATTCAAGAGACTAAGAGAGAGCATTGCATTCAGCTGTGGATTCTTTTTTTTTGTTTTTGTTTACTTTTTCCATTCACTACGAGTGAACTACACTTCAGAGGGCAGTGTTGGACCCTTGAATGCCTGTCCCCCCATGGAAGACTAGTGATTTTGTTGTTGTACCAAAAGAAAACATAAAATCACTGTCTGCCACTGGGGTGGCTGGCCCAAGCAACGTTGAGAGTCCTGAGCCCGCTTCCAATGAAAGGCATCATTTGTACTCAACTCAAAAGATCACCAGACCCCACTTATAATTTCCTTGGCACTCCCATTGCAAACACAATTTTCTGGCAAACGAATCTTTATCAGGTTTGTGGACGAATGACACTTAATGTGTTAATCTAGGAGCTTTTGTGACCCAAGGTCACAGCAACGCCAAAACACCATCGGCTTGTGATGTAGTGTTTTGATTTCACTGCAAAAGGTCACAATGCTCCAGGATATTACAGAGAGTTGCATCCTTCCATAGAGACTGAGGCATGAGCAGCCTAGAGCACACTGAATTTTGAGGGCAGAAGTTTGCTTCGTTTAGTGACGCTGCAATGGAATCTGTCTGCGGGAGGAAGCATGCTTCATCTCTGTGCCTCATTTGCCACCTGTTAAGCAATTCCTAGAAATTAATACCACCACTTGTAAGGTTTTTTGTTTTGCTGTTACTATTTGTTTTGCCGACCTCTCCCACTTTGTGCTGCCAGACAGTTGACCAACAGGAATCAGCCGAGTATTAAGCTAAGTATGGTGACACCTGTTGTAAGGGACCCTAAGCCTGACCCTGTCGGATCACCAGTGCAGAACTTGCCTTTCTGTTATCTAGCTTCAAGGCCGGCTCATGCTTACAAGCAAACGAGAATGCAAAATGAACTTCACAGCAAGGATGAAGGGGGATGAAATACAAAAGAATTGAGCTGGGAATTTTTTGTACAAGTACACCTGTCATGCCTGTACTTGCTCCGAGCTCAAAAATTACATCCCCGTACACATTTGACTTGAGTGAACCTGCCCTCTGGATCTCGCACTGAATGCCAAATTCTCTGAAAAGAATCTTTCTCTGAATTTGTTAAAACTATTAGAATTGTTTTATTTTTTTGTTTTTACAATGCAGCGTGAGGCAGTATTCTGGACACTTTTTCTAAATGGGCAAGCGAGCTTGAGGGGCTTCAACACCAGCTGGACATCAATGCATCTGGCAACACATCTTCCTTCAGCAGGGAACACAGGATGTTTGTAATCGGCATTTATTGTCAAACTGGAGCTGCTGGCTGCTAGCAATGTTACTGTACATTGGAGTAAACCCAAGGGATGCATATAATGATAATTCCTATGAAAGCAGTTGATTAGTACCAAATGCAACCGTTTAGCCATTTTCCCTTCTGTTTTCCTCTAGCTTTTAGAAAAACATGTATTTTTGTGTGTATAATTTTTATCGACTGATTTGGTTTTTTTGCATTCTTTGAAGTGCTGCTTGTGTACGCAGATGAAATGAAATAATGAAGAGAATGTTTTGTTGAAATTGAGTCAGCCTCTGAAAATTTGATTGCTTCTAGAAGTCTTAATCCATGTTGGTATATTGACCGATG